TCTAAGTTCCCAGCCAGAGGCAGGCGATTCAGATTTTTGCTCCCCCCTCTCTGGCGCCCTAAGGCGGCTGCTTGTGCCGCCTTATGGATTCGCCGGCCATGACTGAACCACCCTGGAACCATCCAAGTATGATGGGGGCACAAACTCTCTTCTCGGCAGCCTCTAACTCCATTGGACACTCCATCCCAGTATTCAACCGGGGAATGGTGATAGTAACTTGGATGTTCAGTCAATATTTCAGGCTTGGGCTTCCAATGAGGGCGGATGATTTAGATGCTGATCATAGAACGACCGGTATATTATAGTCACTTGCTACTCACGAGAGGAGAGAAACTTATGCTGCTGGAGGTGTAAGATTAGACTTCTGGGTCCCATCTTCAATGTACAAATACGTTGTGCCACCAGACCACCAAAGAATCAAGTGTTCCCTCTCCCTAGTCATAGGTAGCAGGCAGGGAGGGGGCAAATAAATATCATTACAAATGTAAAAAAGACTGCTCACAGCCTCTGTCCAACTTCACTACATGCACCACACAGACACTGCACCCACCACACAAACACTGACACTCTATCCACTACACAGACACTGCATCCACTACACAAACACTGACATTCTGTCCACTACACAGACACTGCATCCACTACAGAAACACTGACACTCTATCCACTACATAAACACTGCATCCACTACACAGACACTGCATCTACTATACACATTGCATCAACTACACATACTAGATCCACTACACACACTGCATCCACTACACAGGCTGCATTCATTGCATCCACTAGACTGCATTCACTATACACACACTACATCTACTACACACATTACATTGTAACTAAGTGGCTACTAAAAAGACTGGACATACCCCATTTTGAATACCCTGGGTTGTCTACTTTTGCAAATGGTAGGCCATCATGGGGATAATTCTCACTCCTGAGCTGCCATAGGGTGTCAAAGGCAACATGGACACAGCATACCAATGTGACAAATTTCCATGTGCAAAACCTGAAATGGCAAGCCCTAAATTTAACCGTGTAACTTCCTAAACCTCATGAAATCTATACATGGAGACTATTGTGGTACGCATAGGACATCACAGCATACAAATATATGTTTTTATTGCAGTAAAAGCTAGCAGTATTATGACATCAACAGTTAAACTGCCATACATCGCTGCAAAATCTTGTGGTCACTACTCTATCCTAATTCTCCTTGACCTGTCTGCGGCTTTTGACACTGTTGATCATCAACAGCTTCTTCTCATCCTCCGCAATATCGGTCTATAAGATATTGCTCTCTCCTGGTGCTCCTCCTACCTCTCCCAGCGCTCTTTCAGTGTTTCTTTCTCTGGCTCTGCTTCTTCTCCCCAACTCCTCTCTGTTGGTGTCCCCCAAGGGTCAGTCCTTGGTCCCCTACTGTTCTCCATCTATACTGAATCCCTTGGTAAACTCATTAGCTCCTTTGGCTTCCAATATCATTTCTATGCAGATGACATGCAAATCTACCTGTCCTCTCCTGATCTCTCCCTGTCCCTCTTGACTAGTGTCTCTGACTGCCTCTCTGCTGTTTCTAACTGGATGACTGCCCACTTCCTTAAACTAAACTTGACCAAAACTGAAATTCTGGTCTTTCCTCCCTCAAGTGTTGTTACTCCTGTGTCTGTCTCCCTCCAAGTCAACGGTGCTACCATCAGCTCCACCACGCAGGCTCGCTGCCTAGGTGTTCTCTTTGACTCCGACCACTCCTTCAAGCCTCATGTTCAATCTATCACCAAATCCTGTCATTTCCATTTCAAAAACATTGCGCGCATCTGCCCCTACTTAACGCCAGATGCGACTAAGGTGTTGGTCCATTCCACTGTCCGTTCTCGCCTTGACTTCTGTAATCCGCTTCTCAGTGGTCTTACGTGCTCCCAACTAGCGCAGTTACAGTCCATAATGAATGCGGCGGCGAGGCTCATCTTCCTGTTCGCCCGCACCTCCCATGCCTCACCCTTCTGTCAGTCCCTACATTGGCTTCCTATAAAATATAGAGCTCAATTTAAAATTTTGGTTCTTGCTTTCAAATCTCTACATAATGCTGCTCCCACCTATCTATCCTCCCTTATACACAAGTATGTCCCGTCTAGGCCCTTACGATCTGCTGAAGACTTACGTCTATCTTCTGTCCGTACTCCCACCTCTGATGCTCGCCTTCAAGATTTCTCGAGGGCTGCACCATTCCTGTGGAACTCGCTTCCCTCCTCCGTTAGATGCTCACCCAGTCTCCACTCCTTCAAAAAATCGTTAAAACCCACTTCTTCATAAAAGCGTATCAATTAAACTGTTAATAGCTCCTGACTGATTCCTCTTCTGCAACTGTCACTAGTCTAATACTATCCTTACCCTTTTGTGTCATTTTACCCCACTCCCTCTAGCATGTAAGCTCATTGAGCAGGGCCCTCAACCCCTCTGTTCCTGTGTGTCCAACTTGTCTGGTTACAACTACATGTCTGTTCGTCCACCCATTGTAAAGCGCTGTGGAATTTGATGGCGCACTATAAATATCATAATAATAATAATAATAATACAGACACAATTTCTTAATTTATGACACTTTTTTAGATTTTATTCATATTAAATTATGTTCCATATATAAATATTTGATTAAATGAAAGCCCTATTTCTCCTGAACAAAATTATATATAATAGATGTAACTGCACCTAATATGAAAGAGGTAAATTATGGATGAACAGACCTATAGCTCAATTTTAGGTTTTGTTTAGGTTTAGAACTCCTTTGTCCTTAAGGTGATAAACACATTTTTAAAGATTGGTTGGGGGACAGATCCTCCATAGTCAGGGCCGGCGCTACCTGTTAGGCGGACTAGGCAGCCGCCTAGGGCGCCCCTTGGGAAGGAACGCCGGCCCCCCTCATGCTGCAGCCGAACAAGCGCTCTGTAGAGAGCCTCAGGCGGCTGCAGCTTTGCCCGGGCTGGTGCGTCCATGAGGGCGCACCGCCCAGGCGCAGCATGAGGAAAGGGGCTGATATGAGGGAAGCGCTCAGTGCTCCCTCCTGTCACTCCCTCTTTTGTAGCGTGGCCGAGCCCTGTATGGTCTGCGGGTACAGGGAGCATCTGTCTCCTGTACCCGGCCGGACTAACACTGAGTGTGCACCTTTTAGTCCAGCTGGGTACAGGAAACAAAAGCTCCCTGTACCCGCGGACCATACAGGGCTCGGCCACGCTACAACAGAGGTAGGGGAAGAGGGAGAAAGAAATTGACGGGGGGGAAAGAAATTGAGAGGGGGAGAAATTGATGGGATGAGAAAGAAATTGACGGGGGAGAAAAGAAATTGATGGGGGGAGAAATTGACAGGGGGAGAAAGAAATTGACAGGGGGTGAGAGTGACAGGGGAGGGAGGGGCAATGAGAGTGGGGAGGGGGAGTGGAGAAGAGAGTGAAAAGGGGGGAGAAGAGAGTGACATGGGAGGGAGGAGAGATTGACATCCATCACACACACACACACACAATCACACACAATGCACCCCTTACACACAAAGACAATGCACCCCTTGCACACAGAAAAACACACAATGCATTACACACACAGATACACATACAGAAGCAATGCAACCTGTACACATAATGCATCCCTTACACACACAAAAATACACAATGCATTCCTTACACACACTGAATGCACCCCTTACACACGCTCAATGCACCCCTTACAGACGCACACACTGCATCACGTACATACACAGAAACACACCTTGCAGCCCTTACACATACAAACACACAATGCATTCCTTACACACATATCAGGACATCCCCTACACACGCCACCCCCTGTGAACAAACTCATTGGTGGAACATGAAGGTGGACCCTGGGACCTTGAGTTGTGTAAAGGGCCCCAAAAAATGGAGCTGCTTCCCGTTCTCCCAGAACATTGATTTTTGTGACCACAGTTACAAACAGCCTCCAGAGAGCCTGTTCTACACCAAACCAGTGGAGCCAGACTGCAGCCAGAGCCCATCACCATCCTCATCTGGTTGTAGGTAGGCAATCTAGTATATTATTTGTGGCACTAATCTCTAATTTACCTCACATTAAAGAAACACTATAGTCCCCAGAACCATCTACAGCTTAATATAGTGGTTCTGGTGTCTATAGCCTGTCCCTGCAGGCCTTTTAATGTAAACACGGCGGCACTGCAGCACTGGCGTTAGTTAACATGGCAGATCATATGGGTGGGGCATTGTGATGTCACATGGGGGGGCGGCAAACTTTACTTTTGCCTAGGGCGGCAAAAATCCTTGTACCGGCCCTGTCCATAGTGTATACTATTAAAGTGTTTATGGTGGGATGGGTACACTAGTGGGAAGTATAAAAACACACCATAACTTTATTCCTGGTCAAGCCATGTTGCCATTTTTTTGACACCCTGCACATGTTTATGCATGGACAGCATAATTGTACCAGATTTCCTGGTGATGTACCTGTGGCAGGTCAATACAAGCACACATTCATTGTAGAGCAAAGTACTATATTTTCCAATACTAAATATACTTGAATATTGTACTTATATTTTACACATCCCTAGCTCTTGTGTTCTTATTTAGCAGTTAGTGTTTTTTCTTTTTTTTTCTCTGTCACACGGACTGCCAAGGATTGTTAATGGGGTAGGATGTGCACATTTCAGATGATGTCTGTTTGTGGCCATTTAATGAGTCTTTATTTTATTACATAAGGACTACTTACTGGAATTACAACCTATAAAATTGTGTTTGACCTAGCGGCGGAACGAAATGGCCGCATAGAGACTGAGCTCCTCCGGCCCCACTCAGCCACGCACAAAATACCGGCCACGGACAGGAGGATGGGGAAACATACCAAGGCGGGGAACACCCCCAGACCACCGGGGACCCGCCAGGGGAGCCAAAACCCCTCCATGCAGCAGTACTTGTCCACGACGCCGGACCCGTTTTCCCAGGCGTCATCTGAGGCCTACCCGCCATCTGAGGCCTCCACGCCACACTCCCTCTCCCCAGCCCGGGAGGACACAGGGGAAACCCCCCCTGCAGACTGGATGGCCCTGCTAAGGGCTCTACCCACGCGGGCAGACCTCACCCAAGCCACCTCAGCCCTCCAGTCCTCTATCAAGTCAGACCTGCAGCTGATGAGGGCAGACATTCAGGGGATGGCAGACCGCATGGCCCAAATAGAAGCAGATCACGACGCCCTCACTGCGACACAAACGGCACAAGCCACAAACTACTCTAAAAGATCTGCCCAAATGCAAGCCATGGCCAGACATATAGAAGACCTGGACAATAGAGGCCGCAGACAGAACCTACGAGTAAGAGGCCTACAAGAAGGTGAAGACTCACCCGCCCAGCTTAAAGTCACACTCACCGCCATCTTCAACGAGCTCCTGAGCCGCCCCAGAGAGACCCCCATAGAGTTCATCAGAGCCCATAGAGCACTGAGACCCAGGGGCCCACCAGAGGCTCCACCTAGGGACGTGATCTGCTGTCTAGCACTTTACGCCTTGAAGGAGGAAATTCTGTATGCAGCACACAACAAGAGAGAAATCACCCATGAAGGCTCACATCTCCAACTGTACCCGGACCTATACCCAGCTACCTTGGGATATCGCAGGGCACTAAAACCGCTCACCAGAATGCTAGTGGCCCAGAAAATAAGATACCGCTGGACATTCCCCACAGGCCTGATCGCCACCACCCAAAACGGCCCTAGACCGATCCGCACCCCACAGGACCTACAGGAATTGTCAGAAGATCTCCACTTGCCACCCCTTAATCTGACCTGGCCAGATCCACTGGATTTCTACAACAGCCCACCTACACCCCAGGGGGAACCTGCACCGACACAGCGCAGACACCGAACAAGACTGGAGACCGTGAGGCCAGCAGGGGCAACACATTAACGGACATACAAGACAGGAGCCACGCATGGAACTCGTAACTATGCACTGGGACACTCCGCACGTAGGCCTACACCACACATGGGCCACACACTTAGCCGTTAAAACACTCAGACACCCACGTGCCATGGAAAGGGTGGGGGGACCATCAGAAGTGGGCATACGAGACATTTTGCAAGCACAATCGAGGAACCCACGAAAGAAACACTGGGGACTCTGGGTAAAATGGGGGGGGAAGATGTATGGGGTTGTTTTGCCCTTCCTCTCTGCTTTCCCCTTCCTCCAGGGTTTTTTTTTTCTTTTCTTGTTTTCCCTCTTTCCCGTTTGGGTGGGGGGATTTGAAAGGGGAGGCTGAGGCTGAATAAAGGCTCGCTCCAGACCAACAGAGAGAGAGACCAACAGAGAGAGGGAGCGGAGGTTACCAGGGAGGGCTAGTACTATGAGAAGGGACAGGCCCCCAATGCCAACCGGACCCCCAGAACACCACAGCAAGGGGAGGGACACGAAATGGGAGGTGTAAGGCCAGCTAGTTATATACCTTAAAGCCACAAACCTACAAGCCACAACACGGCAACATAATTCACCACCCGGCAAAGGAGATCTAGGGGCACAGGGGAGAGACTAGTAGGGTAAAGCCAATCAAACGAGCACGCACTCGAACACACACCTGGGAGATAGGGAAAGGGCCGGGATGGGCTGGGCCCAGGGGCTGCCAGCACCACCTGTACTGATTATATAGCTTCCGAGCAGAGGGGGCCAGGGGACACTGGAGACCTAGAAAGGAGAAGGATCCACCACTATTGGCCCTACGGGGTGAGGGAGTTAGAGGGCCACGTTCCCGGTAGACAGGGGCACCAAGATACCGGCGGGAGGACTCAGCGGTGCCGACAGGTGCTGCACAGCTGACTCCTACCTAGCCCACACCCTAGTCTTTTTTGGAAAACCCACACAGTTTATTATTGTTGTTTATTACTGTTACATTTGTTACTAATTGTTGAAAGCCGCGCCCGCCCGCGGGACACAGGGGGACAGGGGACCCACCCTCGACTTCAGGCCCGCACTTGAGGAGTAAACCAAACCCTCTAGCACCCACCCATACTCCCCAACCCTCCCCACCATACCCTGATTCTCCTGAAACATAGCAAACATGCCACGCCACAACACACACAAACAAGCGGAGATTAAATTCCTCTCCATCAACGCTAAAGGCATGAACATACCCGAAAAACGCTCGCATGCCCTACGTCACTTCCACAGTCAAAAGTCACAGGTAGTCTTCATTCAGGAGACACACTTTAAAGAGGGCCACGTGCCCAGACTGACGGACAAACATTACGCACAATGTAATAACCCAGAGGGAAAGTCCAAAGGCACAGCAATCCTGATCCATAGATCGCTACATTTTGCCCCCACTGACACACTGCGAGACAGCCACGGACGGTATATATGTGTCAAAGGCACAATTGCAGGCCGCACATAAACGTTCGCAAACCTATATACCCCCAATAAACGCCAACACCAATTTTTACGCACAGCACTTAGAACAATAGAGGGCTTCGCGGAGGGCTGTCTGGTCGTTGGAGGGGACCTCAATGTGGCCCTGACGCCGACCATAGACACATCCATAGGCCTCTCTACGACCCCCCAGCATATCTTAACAAACATATCAAAAACGCTGCGAGAGAAGCGTCTGGTAGACTGCTGGAGAGCTTTACACCCTGAAGACCGAGACTACACTTTTTACTCTATCCCCCACAAAACGTACTCTAGAATAGACTATTTCCTCATTCCACATTACTACCTGACTGAGGTTCGACGAACGGACATAGGAACAGCGACATGGTCAGACCATGCTCCAATTACAATGACACTAACCTCCCCACTCTATAGACCCACCTGCAGTAACTGGAGACTGAACGAATCGATCTTAAACGACATTACAGCGACGACAGAAGCCAGGGAAAGACTTACGCAATACTTTACAGAAAACGATACGTCTGAGGTCACGCCCCTATGCCTATGGGAGGCTCATAAAAGCGTAATGAGAGGCCACTTCATAGCGAAAAGCGCCGCGCTTAAAAAAGCCAAATCTGCCAGACTTAAAACACTAATTCAGGACATACAGACTTTGGAATGTAGACACAAACAAACCCACCTGATAGCAGACTGGACACAGCTAACGGTACTCAGGAGGGAACTCTCCTCTATCCTGAATGCCAATCACCATAGAGCATACTTACACTCCAAAGCGTTCTTTTACACCAATGCTAACAAATGTGGTGCCCTCCTTGCCTGCATGATCGCCAAAAAGAGAGCAGCGGCCTACATCCCGGGGATCAGAGACAGAGATGGGAAGCTGCACAGTATGCCGACCGAGATGGCCAACACCATTAGGGCGTACTATGCGGACCTCTATTCCCTCGACCCGCCCAGGGGACAGGGAGCGGACACAGAAAGGAAGACGCGGATAACAGACTACCTAGAACCGCGCATTGGCAACTGCCTCTCACAGGAGGCAAGTACAGAGCTAGACGAACCGATCGAGACGCACGAGGTAGCATGGGCTCTCAAAACGGCCAAGACGGGCAAGAGCCCCGGACCGGACGGCCTACCAGCACGCTACTACAAAACCTTTGCGGAACTTCTCTTCCCACGCCTCACGACGGCACTCAATGCGATCCGAGACGGGCAGATATTCCCGACACAGACCTTGGCGGCCAACATCATCCTAATTCCTAAAGACGGGAAAGATCCTGAACATTGTGCGAACTATCGCCCCATCTCACTGTTAAATAACGACTTGAAGCTTTTTACGAAGATACTCGCACAGAGACTGCAGGCCCACCTCCCGAACTTGATTCATAAGGACCAGGTGGGATTTACCCCGCACCGAGAAGCGCGCGATAACACAATCAGAGCACTTTCCCTGATCCACCTCGCAAAAACTAGACAGGAGGGCCTTCTCCTGCTCTCCACGGACGCGGAGAAGGCCTTCGACAGGATTGCATGGGACTTCATGTTCCAGGTCCTCGACAAACTGGGGATGGGGCCTCACACGATGTCCTGGATCAGGGCCTTGTACTCACAACCAACAGCACGGATCTGCATAAATGGAGCCTTCCCAGACCCCTTCGTGATCAGGAATGGAACCAGACAGGGCTGCCCCCTCTCCCCCCTGCTCTTTGTGCTAGCCCTGGAACCATTCCTGAACTCGATCCGAAACAACCCGGATATCCCGGGATTGAAGACAGGAGCGGGGAAACACGCAGTGGCAGCATATGCGGACGACCTACTGTTCTTCGTAACTAAGCCGGAAACATCCATGCCCACGATAATGAAGGAATTCGAACAATACAGGGAGCTCTCGAACTTTAAAATCAATTTTTCCAAATCCATGATCCTCAATGTCTCCGTCTCGAAGTCCAGAGCGACGGCCCTCAAACGAGCGCTGCCATTCCAATGGTCTGCCACCTCCCTAAAATACCTCGGCTAGAAACAGCATATAAAATACTGGCCCTTTGGTACCGCACCCCACTCCACACACACCTATACGACCCCACGAAGGACGACGTATGCTGGAGGTGCAACACGCACAAGGGAACATACCTCCACATATGGTGGGAATGTCCAATCATCCAACCATACTGGTCAACCATCCACACGATCATCAAAAGATTCACAGACTCCCCACCACCCATGAACCCCGCAACATTCCTCATCCATCACACCAAGACGAAAGCATCAACATATAAAAAATCCTTAACAATACGGATACTTAATGTAGTCAAAAGCCTAATCCCCCTCTACTGGAAAAAACAATGTGCGCCCCCGCTGGGGACGTGGTACCAAAAAATGGAGGAGCTGAGAGCTCTGGAAGAGCTCTCCCTGCTGGCAGAGGGGAGGACCCAGACGTACATGACGATCTGGACACACTGGATACTGACCTCGACTAACGCTGACTTCCAGGACCTGCTGACGTGACTGCAGACACCTGAAGGGACAAACGACCACCTTGACTGAGGGAGTGACTACACAAACAAACAGGGAAAACACCAGAATCAACATCATAATAAATAAAACACCCCCTCCCCCTCTCCCCCCCCACCCCCCCCACCCCACGGTCCCCCCCTGGGGGAACCCGCGGACGGGAAGGCGACAAAGTAGAGAAGTTCATAAGACGTAGAGGCTCCAGACGGAGGGGTACCCTCTAAGCAAAGAAGGGAAGAGAGGGAAAAGATATGGGTAGCAAAGGGGGAAGGAAAAGAACAAGAAGGGGAAAGCCAAGAGTAAAA